TACTAATGGATAATATGCGGCAATTAAAGATCATTATTGGCCGATTATTCTTTTGATTACTTCGATTTGTTGTTAAGATCCCGAAATATCTGTGAATACTGGGATTAGTAAAACATGTGAACAAAATAAAGCTCTTTTTCTTCAAGGCCAACATGGACAGATGCGAAAATGTCCGGATTTCAGCAAACACCAGCAGCCAATCAAACGCAAATATAAACGTCATGCTCGTGTCCACAAAGGTATTTTTCTTCATGATAGTATTGCTTATTTGTGCCACAGATGATGTCAATTAGATCTATGAGGACAGATCCGAGGCAAAACAGAAAAGGTTCCATGACTGCTGACGGCATAACATGGAAGTAACACAGGAAATGGGCTTTTGGAGGAAAACCATTTGTCTGTGGAAAATACAGACAAGACAAGGCAAGGCAAATTTATTGGTATCGCACAATTCATACACAAGGCAACTCAAAGTGCTGAACAAAACAAGATCAAAACAGCCACACAAGGGATTCAAATCATAAATAATCACAGTACATTAAAAGGGAAGTAGTAATGTATGCAGCTAAATAAAACCGTTTTTAACTAGGATTTAAACTTTGTCAGAGAAGACAAATGGCTGTAATTTCTACTCATTATCAGAAATACACAGAAAGTAAGACTGTGCCCGACCCGCCTGGGAGCGCTTCAGTCCTGCACCGGACCTGTCCACGCACTGCGGCCGCTGCGTGGCATTGGTCCTCGTTCTGTAGCTTAGATCTCAATATGTGGATCTCCCCGAGGTTTCTCACTTTTTTCCCACTGGGTTTGTGAGATTTCATAACACTTTTAAGCAACTTTTGTTAAAGTTAAACTCATCATTCTATCAATGTGCAGAAGCCAGTACTTTTCCCTTGTTTTGTCTATCTGAAGGCCAAGCTACATGGCACTGTGGCAGCTGCTGATTGGAGGACTCCATGCCTCCGCTCTGTATAATACACTTGCATTCTGTTGTATCTGTGTTCGTGTGCTTTGTTCGTGCTGTCTCTACCATCGACAATAAAACATGTCTTCTGTCTGAAATTAAGACACGATCCCAGACTATGTCTTCTTCAGGTTTTTGTGAGTTTTTCCTTGCCGATGCAGGAGGATCTGTTGGGCAGTTAGTGTCCAACTAGAAGGACTGTGGTGATGATCCAGGACACTTTAACATTCTACAACATGTATGGACATTTATCAACATTCATGGACACTGGTCTCTCCCTATGGACCAACTCATAAGTGTATATTTTGTGTCTTAACTGTTGATTCTCTGATCTGTGTTGGTGATTTCAATGGTTTTCTTAAGTCCTCTGAAATGACTGCTGTTGTGATTTAGGGCTGTACAAGAATAAGTTGTTGTTGTTGTTGTGAACAAATCAGACCACAACATGCCGCCTTCATCTTATCATTATCTTTTGCATATGATTTCCACACATACTTGACATGCTAGTACGGACATATTCTTCACGTCTTAATATGAACTTATATCAAAACTAACTTTAGACGTGTGCATCTAGTTCAGGGCCACTGCATGATAAGTGCCTCTGTGCCAAAACAAAAATAATAAAGCAAAAGAAAAGTGGAATTATTAAGAAAGTTAGTTGATAAGCTTAAGTGTTAGTCATTGTCGTACACTTACATCTTCCCACTGTTGTAAAGAAAACGTACACACTATAAATGTGAATTGAGTGTATAGTTTTAAGATGGTAAGTTTCAACAGTGCTTTCACTCTGTTGAAAAGGCAGCTCTGTCCCCTCCCCTCCCCCCTCCTCCCTCCCCCCCCTCATCAGTATGCATGTCTCTGCTGGGAGCCGGAGGGACGGAGGAGGGCCATGAGGTCACTTATCTTTGGCTCACACTGGAAGAAGCAGGCCCCTGTACGAGCATGTGACTACAGCTAAAGGCCAGCCACACCATCAACAAACCCTCAACAGACCACACACCATCAACAATGCCACAATAACGTCAAAGACCTTTACTCTATTTCAGAATCAGAATCATTTTTGCAAGCCTGTCAGCGCACAAGCTCATGGACGTTTTTGAGCTGGGACCCGCCCCCACTGGTAGCAAACCAGTCACAGATCATCAAATCATGAATAATTGCAGTACATAGAATACAAAAGTAAAGATACAATCCCTCAGTTGTATGCTCAGGTTAATAGAACTGTTTTTGACCTGGATGTGAACATTGTCAGAGTGGTACTGTGGAAAAATAACCTCACAGAGACGGGATCTTTACACACCAGAGCCCCGGGGAAGTTTATGCTCAGTTTCATTCAGGTTTTTTCAGACAGAACAAAGTCAGGACAAGCTCTAGTTAGTCAACGTTTACGTCACACATATGTCACACATGGAAAAACATGCGTGTTATCAAGAGACATCGAAAGAACATAACACACAATCGTAGCAGATACACAATCAGGTCGTTGTGACCTACGGAAGGCCAGATCACTTGTTTAGCTATCTACAGTAATTCCCATAGAATTCTGTCTCACAATTTCAGGACAACTGTTCCAAATTTTTGCTGCATGAATCTGAAACACAGCCTCCCCATGTTTATTCCTGACCCTGGGCACCAGCAGGAGGCCAGTCCCTTTTCTCTTTTGGAGTCTGAGTTGGTTCATATGTCACAGATGTACTTGGGTGAAGGCCATGGAGAGACTTGTAACAAGAAGGGCTGCTTTAAAGTCTATTCTTTGAGCCACAAAAAGCACAGGATGGATGCACCTAAACCAATCTGTATCTAGTGAAGCCTGAGACACTCATTTCATTTGGATTATTTGTATTTATACACAGATTACGCACATACTGAGTGAGACCAACTTGCATGTGTCCTGATGTGCAGCAGAGATTACTGCATGGACCATGATCCTTTGCGTTACTTCATTACAACATGAAGTAATGACTATTATTAAACACTTTGAAATGTAACAGCTGGAGACTGTAGTAAAATCCCATCAGGACATTTTGATACAATATTTAGCATTTCCAAAAAACTCCTCCCATCACAATTTTCAATGAAGACGGACACTATCAAAAGTAACTGCCATTGTCTCAGGCAAAGGAATCATAATTTTGGTTTGATACAGAGTAGCTTTACATCCATCCAGTCCAAACATGTCAAGGAGGATAATGACTTGAGGATAATGTCTAGTTTAAGTGAGCCAGACTAACAAATTTGAAACATATCCCGACTCTACGGCCTCCGTCCTGACTCTACGGCCTCCGTCCTAGATGTACATATGTGGCTCTCAGAGATTTCCCTTTTCTCACAATGGGTTTCTGAGTTTTCCTCTCTGATGCAGGAAAAACTAAGGACAACAGTGCTGTAATCAACTAATTTTGATAATTGATTCATCTAGTGATAATTCTTTCGATGAATTGATTAGTTGTCTATGTTAGGGCTGGGCAATAAATCGAATTTTGACAATTAATCGGCTTTTGAAAAAATGTAATTCATGAAAAATGTGAAAATCGTGAAATCGAATGAGGGATATTGTGAGAGTTCCAGCAGCACATCAATTATACTTGCGATATCAGCACAGTCTGTACAAGACTTTTATAATATGTATCGGGAGAAACAAATAGTAAATAGTTTTGAAACTTAAATATTGAGCGGGAAGATAAAAAATATTTTAAGGGCAAAGTCTGTCTTGAATGACTTTAATGAAAATCGATTTAAAATCGACATCGTCCAAAAGAAGGAAATAAAATCGAGATTTTACTTTTTTGCCATATCGCCCAGCCCTACTCTATGTAGATGTAGATACAATATTGTGACACAGATAAAGCTGAAGTAAAGCCACCAGAGGCCATTCTAAAAGCCTTTGTCAGATTTTTCATGCATTTACTTCCCCATTTGTGTTAAACAAAAACAGATGACTTTAGGATGAATGCATTCATTGCTGAGGACAAACAAAACTGATTAAATGATTAATTATTACAACCCTAAAGGAGGGGGGTGACTAGAGATATAAATTTATGTATTAATGAAAACATATGGACAGAGTTACCCCTAATATATCAGCCCCATCATGTCTTTTTTATGTTGCACTTCTTATATGTCATGTTTCGATGCTGTTGGTGAATTGACTGAATTCTGTGACACCTCTTAATACGACTGCAGTTGGGATTTATAGCTATAGAACAATTAGTTCATTGGATTTGGCCATAGAAATTATTGTACTTTAGTCTGTTCCTATACATCCCAACACATTACACACAGGTTCAGAATAATCTAGAAGCACCCAGCTGTAAGACTTAAGATCTGGATAGACCTCAGCAGTACAAATATATAGGGAGAACCCGTGTCTATCTATATATATATATATATATTCACTCTATCTCTTCTGACATCCCCCGTGTGCTGGCATTTCTTCTCCCCTGGACCAGAGCACTGACTGGCGCCCTAGGGTGAAGCTGGTGCCTGTCATCTGCACGTCATGCAACCACTGCTGCTGCTGCTGCTGCTGCTGCTGCTGCTTTTTCTCCAGTCTAATCCAATTGCATGACAGATGGACAGCAGTATTCCCTCAAACACAGCCCAAAACACGGCTAAAGTGTGCCTGTTTCGAAGCAATGGCACCATATTTAACGACTTTTAACCCAGCATAGAATGACATCATTGCGTTGCCTGCTCCTGCTGCTGCTGCTGCTACAACCATTGATGAAAAGCTCAAACGAACCAGCTCATCGCGTTTTCTCACATTTCCCAATCAGAGCGCATGCAAATTACGTTAGGAAAATGCAGTTTGGATGCGTGGTGTTGGGTAAGTTTGAAAAGGAACGCCATGGAGGTGGTAGTAAAAGCATACAGCGCTTACTACAATGGATTTACTAGTGGGCGAAACATCAAGAAACAGTCTGAGTATGAGTAAAGCTGCTTTGCCATGTCCAAATCGAGCGCGTTTGCATTATAATCCCACATTCCCCCCCTTTTTAAAACCGCTTTGTAATGTTTTAAATGAGACGAGACTTACCCAAGAATGACCAGCTCGCCATATTTCACCGGGTCTTTCACGGGTGTATCATCGTCTCCGTCTTCTTTCGGCGAATTCATCAAGAAAAGAGGAGGAAAAGGAATGCAAAACGAGTGGCAATAGCGGTGGTGGATTGAAATAAAAGCGATGCTAAGTGCAGGGAGTGATGCGAGGCTGGGATGGTTAAAGTTTGGAGTTGGATAGGCAAAGTTCCTCCGTGCGTCCTCTGCGTAACTTCAGTTTTGCAAAGTGAATAAGCATGTTTTCACGGCTTGAATGTCTATGACTTTGAATGTGCAAATCTATTCCAGTAGCATCGCATACAACAACGGCGGATAAATGCAGGGAGTGGACTGTACCATTGGAAACGCGACGGGGAATGAGGAAAATACTATAAAACGCCGAGTGCGCGCAGTGAGCGATATGTGCGAGTTTGGCACGTTTTACGCATGGGGATACAAAGCGTCTTTTGAGTTCCTGTTTGGAAATGTCACCGTTGTAGTCATGATAATTAGGGTTAAAGTTGGTACAGCGGTGTCCCCCTAAAGTCGGACTCAAATGCAAGCGCCCAAAAGAGTTTTTTTCATTTTTTTTATTTATTTTTTTTCAAAACAGGAAGTGCTCGCATATTGTTGGCGAGATAAAGCCGCTTCTTTCGTCTTTCTTCTAATTTGCGTGCGTTTAAACCATACACTGTGGCACTGTACTGTGTGTGTGTTTGTATGTTTATATGTGTGTGTGGTGTGTGTCTGTGTGTGTTTGTGTGTGTAAGGGGGGCGGGAGGTACTTTGTGTGTGGGCTGACGTAGATCGCCTTTTTCCAAGCGGAGTGGGTTGGATTCGCGCGGATGTGGGTCACCGTGCGCCCCAGACAGACTGCGCATTTGGAGCGCTTGGAGAGGGGAGAACAGAGCATGGATTCTTCCTCTGCCGCCTCCTCCTCCCCCTCCTTCTCCTTTTCCTCCAGAGAGAAATGTTTGGTTTAAAAAAAGGGTCTGGTCCAGTCACGTTTCTGTCCAGATGTAGGAATGGAGATGAGAGAGCTGAAGTGTGGGTGTTTGGTCACAAGGGGGCAGTGCGCGTCAAATACTATCCAAAACATCTACCTTTTGCCTCTATCTCTAACCAGGTGTGAAAATATAACGTTTTATGACTTTGAAAGATGGTCGGATGCAGAGGATTTCCCCTACAGGGACAATACAGAATACCCTTAGGGACAGTTCCAATTCTGAATATTCTGACTTTGAGAATTCTGCACTTGAGAAGAAATGCGACACCCTTGTATGGAAATTGAAGCAGCAAACATGTTCCACGTCCCACGCAACATCGAAGTGTCTGATTTCACCACACATAAGATAAAGATAAGATATACTTTATGAAACAAAGGTTTTATTAAAATTAGATGTTTTTAATTGTATTTCATACGAAGTAGATTTGCTATAATTAGGTACAGGACTGCTCCACATCACGCACACACATGCATACGCACACAGAGACACACACACACGCAACGTTTGGTACTAGCATGTGTCTGTTTCCATGGCGTCCCAGTGACTTTTCAGCTGCAGATGATTCCATACTGTGGCTTTAATGGCCTCACAGATGTTCACTTTCTTTTTAACATGTGCGGCCTTTCTAATGTGTAGAGTACAGTAGAGTACAGTAAAAAAAAAAAAAACATCACTGGATGGAAACCACACTGACATTTCTTCTCCACCTAAAGTTACGCACAGCAGCTTTAAGTGTGAGTGGGATGATGAAGTGCTGAAGAATCCAAAGGGTCACGCCTGTACCTGTACGTCTGTCTGACTGGAGGAAACAGGACGAACTTGAAATATCTGAGGTTGGCTATGAGTCCAGGATACATCACACCTTTGTGTTTTTAAACTGAGATTTATCCAGAGGAGGCAAAAGTACTCAAGTAAAGGTAAACATACTCAAGTATTGAAGTCGTTCCCTTAATAAAAGAACATATACAATATCATGAGTGACATAGTGTTAACTGATAGAACTGCAATTTTATTAGATATTAGTTATTTATTAGAAACATCTCAAGCAGCAGTATGCATGTTACCAAATTTAGAAGCATGGCTAACCAGTTCAAACCTGTATTAGATGCAGATTTATTTCATTTGCTATTTTCAGTAAAACCACATAATACATGCAAAAGTACCCCAGTGTGCACCAGACACATAGATGCATAGCTAACCAAACCTATCGGGGAACTTTTAAGCGTGGATAACCACTCCTAACCTGTAAAAGTGAATTTAGAAGCTTGGCTAACCACTTCAAACTTGCTTTAGAGAACCTCTATTGCGAAAGTATTCGGCCCCCTTGAACCTTTCAACATTTCGCCACATTTCAGGCTTCAAACATAAAGATATAAAAATTACATTTTTTATCAAGAATCAACAACAAGTGGGACACAATTGAGAAGTGGAACGACATTTATTGGATAATTTAAACTTTTTTAACAAATAAAAAACTGAAAAGTGGGGCGAGCAATATTATTCGGCCCCCCTGCGCTAATACTTTGTAGCGCCACCTTTTGCTGCAATTACAGCTGCAAGTCGCTTGGGGTATGTCTCTATCAGTTTTGCACATCGAGAGACTGGAATTCTTGCCCATTCTTCCTTGCAAAACAGCTCGAGCTCAGTGAGGTTGGATGGAGAGCGTTTGTGAACAGCAGTCTTCAGCTCTTTCCACAGATTCTTGATTGGATTCAGGTCTGGACTTTGACTTGGCCATTCTAACACCTGGATAGGTCTATTTGTGAACCATTCCATTGTAGATTTGGCTTTATGCTTTGGATCATTGTCCTGTTGGAAGATAAATCTCCGTCCCAGTCTCAGGTCTTTTGCAGACTCCAACAGGTTTTCTTCCAGAATGGTCCTGTATTTGGCTCCATCCATCTTCCCATCAATTTTAGCCATCTTCCCTGTCCCTGCTGAAGAAAAGCAGGCCCAAACCATGATGCTGCCACCACCATGTTTGACAGTGATGAGCTGTGTTGCTTTTACGCCAAACATATCGTTTTGCATTGTGGCCAAAAAGTTCTGACCAGAGCACCTTCTTCCACATGTTTGGTGTGTCTCCCAGTTGACTAAACAAGACTTTTTATGGATATCTTTGAGAAATGGCTTTCTTCTTGCCACTCTTCCATAAAGGCCAGATTTGTGCAGTGCACGACTGATTGTTGTCCTATGGACAGACTCTCCCATCTCAGCTGTAGTTATCTGCAGTTCATCCAGAGTGATCATGGGCCTCTTGGCTGCATCTCTGATCAGTCTTCTCCTTGTTTGAGATGAAAGTTTGGAGGGACGGCCGGGTCTTGGTAGATTTGCAGTGGTCTGATACTCCTTCCATTTCAATATAATTTCTTGCACAGTGCTCCTTGAGATGTTTAAAGCTTGGGAAATCTTTTTGTATCCAAATCCGTATCCAAACAGTATCTCGGACCTGCCTGGTGTGTTCCTTTGTCTTCATGGTTCTCTCTGCGCTTTAAACAGAACCCTGAGACTATCAAAGAGCAGGTGCATTTATACGGAGACTTGATTACACACAGGTGCATTCTATTTATCATCATCAGTCATTTAGGACAACATTGGATCATTCAAAGATCCTCACTGAACTTCTGGACTGAGTTTGCTGCACTGAAAGTAAAGGGGTCGAATAATATTGCACACCCCACTTTTCAGTTTTTTTATTTGTTAAAAAAGTTTAAATTATCCAATATATTTCGTTCCACTTCACGATTGTGTCCCACTTGTTGTTGATTCATGACAAAAAATTAAAATTGTATATCTTTATGTTTGAAGCCTGAAATGTGGCGAAATGTTGAAAGGTTCAAGGGGGCCGAATACTTTCGCAAGGCACTGTAAGTGCCAAACCTATATTAGTGAAGTTAGAAGCATAGTGCATGCACTCCAAACTTGTTTTATTGAACATAGAAGCACGGCCAACGTCTCCAAATCTGTATTAGTGAAGTTAGAAGCATGGTTGACCCCTTCTAACCTGTGTTGGTGAACTTAGAAGCCTGGTGAACCACTCCAAACCTGTAGAAAGTCCATGTGACATTGGAGAAACATTGTTCTTACTTTGTGTCATTTCATTTTGTGTTGTCAGCTGCAAAGGATTTTCAAGTCAATATGAACATGTTAGGAGGGAGGAGCCTCGAGATACAGTATCTGGCCTTACAAAAACAGATACAGAAAATGGTCACATGCCTTCTAGGTTTTGAGTCAGGAAAAGAAGTGACATGAATGAAACTGCTGAGGTCGGCCGTTTTTTGCTTTACACATTGTGTCACAGGACTTTTTACTGTTCACAACTGATTTACAAATCAATAATGATTCTCAGAAAGCATCACGACAACAGAAGAAGCAATCAACGCTGCTCTTCGGGACGGGCTGCTTGAAAGTTAAAAAGGTTTGGAGGAAGGGACAGTTCAGAGCTTCATTACGTTACCCAAACGAGATTTAGTTCATGGAGGTAAAAGACACTGGTCAACACCTGGGTCTCCAACATGTCTGCCCATTCTAACCAATGTCAGTGGTGCATACTCGCACCGTGGACCCAACCAGGCAGGGCTTCTGTGGCCTTCAACCCGGGGTACACAGCGTTCTCTGCAGTCTTAAAACCAGGTGTCAGGACCTTCCCTGTAATAATAATAATACATTTTATTTCTTAGGCGCCTTTCTTGACACTCAAGGTGGCCTTACACAAGTAAAAAAAGTGCATTTTAAAAACAGTTAAAATACAAAAATACTAAGTTAAAAGCATCATGGACAGAGGAGAGTGTGGTTATGATGTTAGTGAGTAGTCTTAAACCCGGGGTAACAGGACCTTCTCTGTAGTCTTTAACCCGGGGTAGCAGGACCTTCTCTGTGGTCCTGAACCCGGGGTAACAGGACCTTCTCTGTGGTCTTAAACCCGGGGTAGCAGGACCTTCTCTGTGGTCCTAAACCCGGGGTAACAGGACCTTCTCTGTGGTCTTAAACCCGTGGTAACAGGACCTTCTCTGTAGTCTTAAACCCGGGGTAGCAGGACCTTCTCTGTGGTCCTGAACCCGGGGTAACAGG